AGGTACAACGTTCAGTAAAAATATATGAAAACAAGAATTTGTAAAACTACTTTCTAAAAAGTATGTACTATAACAAAATGAAGATGTTAGAATGTCTCTATTCAAAAATAAACATTTTGACTCTCAGAAATGAAATATTAAAATGAGAAGTTATTTGAAACAATATTCTTGTAAATTTTAATAAATTAATTGAAAGGCAGTAAGTAACAAGAAACATGTTAGAAGTCTACAAGGCCATATTATCTGTATTTTAAGCTGTTCTATAAAAAGGATCTTAAAAAATGCTAACTATATGGGGGGAGGGTTACTGGGAACGGAGGGGAGGAGACTGGGTTACGGTTGGGGATGATAAATGGGGAGTGAAACTAAATGTACACATAACGTTGAATGTAAAACAAACTCTTAAAATTAAAAAGTTTTTTTAAAATGGTAACTATACATATACATATATACATATACATATATACATACATACATATATATGTATGTGTGTGTGTATATATATATATATACATACACACACACACACACATATATATAAAACTTTATTGCAACAAAAATATAGCTAACTCTGAGACCAGAAGACAGAAGATGTAGACTCTGCCTGGCTACTACTACTGACCGCTCTGAAAGGGATCACAATAGGAGATACTGGATAGAGTGGGAGAAAAGTGTGGATCAAAACTCAAAATAATAAAAAGACCAGGCTTACTGATCTCATGGAGACTGATGAGACCCCTGAGACTATGGCCCTTAGACACTCTTCAGGCCTGGAAGTGACTGCGTTCTTGTGGGTCAACTTTCAGCCAAATGATAGACAAGCCCATGAAGTGAACAATAACACCAAGGAAGTAGGTACTTCAACAGTAGAACAATCAACCATATGAGATCAAAATGGCAGCAGTTGCTCAAGGATAAAGCTCAGAAGGCAAGAAGGGATATGAAGAAGGATGAATGGAAACGTTAAACACAGGGAAGAAGTTGGAAGGGTACTGTTACATTGTAGGGACTGCAATCAATGTCATAAAACAAAATGTGTATGAATTGTTGAATGGAAAACCAATTTGCTCCAGAAACTTTCACCCAAACCACAATAAAAAGTTTTTAAAAAATACAGCTAAGCCTTTAGTAGCATAGGAGCTCTGGTAGCATAGTGCCTAAGGCACTTGACTGCTAACCAGAAGACTGGAGGTTCAAACCCACCAGCCACTCCATGGAAGGAAGGTTGGGTAATCTACTTCCATACCACCTCAGAAACCCAAGGAGGGGTCACTCTAAGTCGGGTCTGACTCGACAGCATATAACAACAACAAGCCTTTAATCAAACACATTCCTTTCTAAGGCAAAAGGAGTGCCTAAAATCTAAGATTCAAGAAAGGATTTGAGAAAATCACCAAATAATTTAATACTAAGGAACAGTGATTATAGGAAGAAAGCTGGGCTCTGGAATCAAAGACCTGACTTCCCATCTAGGCTCTGCTACTTACTAAATTGCAGAAATGTCATTTAACCTCTCAGAGTCTTAGTGCACTCATTTCTGAAAAGGACAATAATAGTTACCTTCTAGGGCTATTGTAAAGAAGGCGAATACGTAGAATCAGAAACAAACTCATTATAGGTACCTAATACATGATATCAGTTCTCTCATTTCATCATAAAACCTACTAAATAATTAAAAGCCTCCAGAACAACAAAGAAAACAACCTCTATCAGTGTAATGCATCCCCAATGTTTAGTAAATCTATCAGAAAAAGCTGTCTTCATATTTAAGCTTAATCTCTTAGGTTAATAGCACAAAATTTGCTCTTTTCCATGGAGATGACAGATTATTGGTCAGCTACAAAGAGCCAAACATTTCCTGTCACAAGATTCCTATTAGTATACTATAAAAACACTGCTAATATGGCAGTTTCACTATGCATAAAAATAGTTATATTTTTATATTTTATTTTATTATATTTTATTTAATAAAATAAAAAAGTTATATTATAATCTTAGCATCTATTACTCATTTCTCTTATGAATGAGAATATGTAAGCCACATTGTAATCTCTTTCTTGGGTAAGATATATATATATCTTTAATCAAACACATTCCTTTCCAAGGCTAACGGAGTACCTAAAATCAATTATATATAAATAATGACATATGATATCAATTTGGTAGGATTTTTTTTCAAAGGTATAAAGTCATAAAAAAGCATCAGAACAGAAAACGGGATAAAAGTAACTACAAAATTAAAGTTCTCTTATTCAGACATATATAAATATTTTTATAATCCTAAGATAATTAATACATCACATTTTTATACATTCCTTTTCCCCAAATAATGCCTTTAAAAACTGAGTCAAGCAACAATTTAAAGCACTTATACTTACATTCAGTAAAGAAAATACTTAACATAGGCCAACAATTTTCAAGTGATCCCAACTTAGACAGAAGTGTTAAATCGCCTACAAATTTTATCCAATTCACAGCCTCTTCAACTGCCAAGATTTTCTGTTTTAAAAACAGGGATAAAGAATGAGATTTCAGTATTAATTTTAAATTTGTCATGTGGCATCGGTGACATATACAGTAGTTGAGATCCATAATACAAAACCAGTGTGAATTCCACATTTCATTACTCCAGTATAAAACCTAGTTAACATACAAGTTAACAAATACCATGTACTCACCACAGTCTACCTTCAGAGTTCAAGATGCTTCTGCACTGATTCCAGCCTGGCCAGAAGCTGACTTGGGTATCAGGAGAATGCAATAATACAATCTGGATGAGTGGGATCCCAGCAATCACCTAAACTAGGACCTCCATCCTTAGAACCGACCCAAGGTTTAGATTACAGATTAAGGTTCACCAAAGAGAATATGTATTTTACATGATGTGTGGCAAACAGAAGAATAAGGAGATATATTAACAAGAGGACATGGCTGATTAAATGGGCTCTTTGTAAAAAGACTTTCATGATGTATCAGGAATTCACAAAAATGCTACTGATACCTCAAAATGTCTACAGTAACTTCAGAAATTAAGTATTTATCCATTTTGGTGTCAAGCTTAAGAGAAACACATAGATGTCTGTGTCAACAGTAACATTAAAAATTGGTTTATCATTCATTATAGTTAGGGATCAACTAGTAATTACGTGTCAAAAAAATGTTCATTCCAGAGACCTAATAATTTCATTTAGGGTAACTTATGACAGGTATAAGTTGCAAACTTATATAAGTTTATGTTGAAGCTGAAGAAAAGTAAAACAAGTCCACAAAAGATATGTTGTTGTTGTTATTATGTGCCGTCGAGTCGGCCCCGACTCATAGCGACCCCTCCTTGGGTTTCTGAGGCAGTATCACTATGGAAGTAGGATTGCCCAACCATCCTTCCGAACAAAAGATACATCCTACCTAAATTTAGAGACCATCTGAAGACTAGATTTGATGCATTGAACAACAATGATTGAACACCACACAAATTGTGGGAAGACATCAAGGACATCATGCATGAAGAAAGAAAAAGATCAATAAAGGCAGGAAAGCAAGAAAAGACCAAAATGGATGTCACAAGAGACTGAAACTTGCTCTTAAACGGAGAGTGGCTAAAGTGAATGGAAGAAATGACGTAAAAGAGCTAAACAGAAGATTTCAAAGGGCAGCTCAAGTAGACAAAGTCAAGTATTAGAATTAAATATGCAAAGACTTGGAATCAGAAAATCAAAAGGGAAGAACATGCTGAAAGAACTGAAGTAAAAATTCAAGCTTCAAGTTGTAATTCTGAAAGATTCTGTGGGTAAAATACTGAATGATACAGGAAGCATCAACAGAAGATGGAAGGAAAACACAGAGTCACTGTACCAAAAAGAATTGGCTGATATTTAACCGTTTCAAGAGGTAGTATATAAACAAGAACCAAGGGTATTGAAAGAAGTACAAGCTGCACTGAAGGAACTGGCAAAAAAACAAGGCTCCCGGAATTGATGGAATACCCATTGAGATGTTTCAACAAATGGATGCAGCACTGGAAGTGTTCACTCATTTATGCCAAGCAATTTGGAAGACAGCTACCTGGCCAATTGTATAAAATTATACAATTGTATAAATGATTATATAAAAAATTGTATAAAAGATTCATTATTTGTGCCCATTCCAAGGTAAGGGGCTTCAACAGACTGCAGAAATTATCAAACAGTATCATTAACATCACACACAAGTAAAATTTTGCTTAAAAAAATGGTTACAGCAGTACACCAATAGGGAACTGCCAAAAATTAAAGCCAAATTCAGAAGAGGGTCTCGAATGAGTTATATTATTATTGATGTCAGATGGATCTTGGCTGAAAGCAGAGAATACCAGAAAGATGTTTCACTGTGTTTTACTGACTACACAAAGGCATTCGACTGTGTGCACCCTAACAAATTATGGATAACAATGCAAAGAATGGAATTCCAGAACACATAATTGTGCTCACACAGAACCTGTACACAGACAAAGAAGCAGTCATTGAAACAGAACAAGGGAATACTGTGTGGTTTAAAATCAGGAAAGGGGTTCACCACGGTCATATCCTTATTTATTCAATCTGTATGTGGACCAAATCATCCAAGAAGCTGGACTATATGAAGGAGAATGGGGCAGCAGGATTGGAGGAAAACTCATTAACAACCTGCAGTGTGCAGATGACACAACCTTGCTTGCTGAAAGTGAAGAGGTATTGAAGAACTTACTGATGAAGATCAAAGAGTAAAGTTTTCAATATGGATTACATCTTAACATTAAGAAAACTAAAATCCTCACAACTGACCAATAAGCAACATAATTACAAATGGAGAAAAGACTGAAGTTGTCAAGGATTTCACTTTACCTGGATCCACAATCAACACCATTGAAGCAGCAGTGAAGAAATCAAATAATATACTGCATTGGCCAAATCTTATACAAAAGTGCTCTTTAAATTACTAAAGAGAAAAGAT